TTTTTCTTGGCGTCTATATTACCGGGTATAAACGAGTATGAATGTGAAAAATTTAAAGTATTTTTTTTTTAAATTTTATAATTAAGAGAGCCTATCCAATTGTTGCATTAGATGCTCGGAATGTCTGTCCCAACGGCAGTATCTACTTCGAGTTGCGTGAAGGGGAACTAGATCTGATCTCCTCCGCGCAACTCGAAGTAGATATTGCCGTTGGGACAGACAGTTCGAACATCGAATGCACTACTACTGCATGGACACTCTCATTTCAGATTAGTATTAGCTCATTTTTTTAATTCTCAATTAAATTAAATAACTAAACACTTGATCTATAAAATCATTTTTATAGAACAATAACTATTATGGAAATGTCTTAAGCTTCATGTTGTAATGATAAAATTAGAAATACGATTTTTAAAAATGAATTCTTCCTTTTTAAACAAAAATTAATCCAATAAGTAGCTACTTGCAGAATTTTTTTTTTTTTTTCGTAAATACGCGGTAAAAATTCATTTGAACTAATGAAGAGTGAAATTTAATTACATCAGTAACTAAAGCAGAGATAATGAGAGACCCACCCACGTTGAACGAGTGGGTTTGACGAATGAAAAGTAAATTTTTTTCTCGTACAAGTTAATCGTTGATCTTATCGACGTCATGTTCAATTAGAAAATTGAATGAACCTCGTAACCGCGCGTCTCTCTTCTATTTATTTGTAAATTACAGAGTTGTATATTTATATTTCAAGACATTTATCAATTTGCAAAAGTCATTAGTGTCAGGTGAAGTGATATATTCCATTAGGACGAATGTTAATAGCACACACACTGCCAAATGTCGTTTCTAATCAGAGTATAAACCAATGACTAATCTCACTTCCTCTAACTTTAGAAAGCGCACCTAGACTTTTGAATTAATCGAAGGAGAGAATTCTCTTCTTTATCCAAAATAAAAAATTAGAAAAGTCCTTTATCGGTGAATTATCACCAGATGCACAATCAACGTTCAATTTTATAAAGAGAATTGTCACCAGACACAATGAGTATCATTATAAAGAAGAATAGTCAACGGAATACCAAGAAATATCTTCAGTATACAGATAGTTAAGAGAACGAAACAGAGAGAAGCGATTTTTATCAGTGAACAATTCTTTTCATTTGACAATAAATGGAATTCTGATATATACTTATAAAAATCAGAGAGAGAGAGAGAGGTTTTTAGCTTCATTGGTCCATAAATGAAGAAACACCCTGAGGCATGTGCATCACACAAAGCTTGAAAGAAGATAGATTCCGCGGAAGATATATCTTGGTACAAGCTCTATCAACACAAGGCACAGAATGAATATATACTTGGGTTGTACAATTACACACACGTAAACTTGAACTACCACTTTCGTTGGCGTTCAAGAATCCACTTTTTGTATAGGAGAGGGCAAGGATCAAGACATTCTCTCGCGCAGGCGTAAAAGTTCACGTATATAGCGAACCCAAATGGAGAGCCATGACTCCGAAATCGTTTCTTTTTGATTCGAACCAACGATATTCGCACATGAAAATCAATAGCAGTGGCATTCTATTCACTTTCACGTTTTTCACATCCACCATGAATAATCGAGGAATCTCATGTTTCTCCGCTTCAAACTCTCAAACGTCTCTCCAACATCCTCCACGTGGTGAGAAACTCAATGTTACTTTAAATTTATGGAATGCGAATTTCCCCCCCCCCCCCTCCCCAACCCCTATTGAAAACATTTAGAATTATGCCATTCTTTAACATCCGAAACTTTATTGTCATGTAAAAATAATAAATTCAAAAGCAATAAATCTATTCTTCATTAATTAATATTTTGATATAAACTTCCTTGAGACATTTACACATACGCTATACGAGAGAAACATGTTAACTAGACTGACCAAAGGATTAGGATTAGTATGTGGACGGTTGTGGTCATGCTGAACCGTCAATCCGATTAGGCACCACGTACTAAAGGACACATTGTCCTCTAACTGGGAAATTACGTAAAGGCTTTTCCTGTCGAGTTTCGCTATAATCGTAATCATTGTCCCAAAGTCAAATGTGCATCACAGTTAATATTAACAATTCTATATGGCATCAATTTTAAATCCATTACAAAGTTCAATTCAACACAGACATAGACTGCGATAATTTTACGAACAATCTCTGTCGTTGCATTCATTTCCGGTCTGCAAGAAAGGATTACTCCCAAATTAAGCAAGTTTCAACTGAATATAGCATTTGCACTCATTCCAAAAGTCAAACCAAGTTTAATTTTAGTTATATGAGCGCTCTTCATGATAATTTAATGGATTCAACTTTTACATTATTGAGTGACACATGAAATAAGAATGATATACCACTTTCCCAAAAGTCATACTCTTTAATAATTAGTCATTGAGCAACTTGTTTGATGATCGGAAGGTTAATATACCTCTGTCATTATTTCTAACATGTTTAATTATGAGACATATACGCACTAGAAAAAGAAATATCTTTATAAATAGATTGTATATGTATAATTACTTTTAAAAGGTTTAAAATATCTTCTGAAACTATCTTCCCTCACAGCACCAGATATCCTAGGATATTCTAAAAACATCCCTTGGATATCCTAGGGATACCCCAGGGATATCCTAAGGATACTTTAAGGATATCCAAAGTAGCGGCGGTTAGGATATCCTAGGGATATCTAAGGATGTCCCTAGGACGTCCCAGGGATATCCTAATCATTTCCTCGGATATTATTAGGATATCCTGTGGATATCCCTGGAATAATTAGGGATGTCTTTAGGACGTCCTAAGGATATCCACAAATTAATTAAATAAAAATGGAATACATATTTTTTGGATGTATTTATAATGTATTTCCAAGATATCTAAAATGTACTTTCGCTGCGTGTGTTAGAACAAAAATTTTTCATTTGGTCAGTCCCATAAAAAACGAATTTAAAGTGTCGAAAATCGCATTTTTGGCTTAAATATATGCTCTAATTATCAACTTTAAGGCCCAGATTTGAAAGATGATTGACAATCACGGGAAACCTATTTGTATCAAAAAATCGCTATCTCAAATACTCAAAATTTGAATCATAATGATATCCAAGAATATCCCCACGATATCACTAGGATATCCCTGTAATATCCCAGGAATATCCCAGGGATATCCCCAAGATATCCCAGAATATCCTCAGTATATCCCCAGGATATCCCAAAAATATCCTACGTAACGGCGGTTTGGATGTTCTGAGGATATCCTCAGGATATCCTATGGACGTTTTCAGGATATACTACATTAGTTTAGGATATCCTTAGGATATCCTTTTTTTATGAGGGTTACATCTTAAAAACTAATTTATCGAATTTATATTTAACAGAATTTTATAAAATAAACCCTTTAAAACGTAACGGAATTTTTATATTGTAAAATTTTCATTTAGCCGAACTTTGTAAAGCAGGCTATACAATTTACAAATGGTATATACAATATGTAATTTTCTTTTTCATCGAAACTCCAGTTTCTCGCATTGTCATTTCAAATGTATAACGTTTAATTATCATTTGATCGAAATTGCAAATGTCCTACCAAACAATCGACAAAAAGATTTAGGCGCAAATTTTTAAATTGTCCAATCAGAAAATATCAAGAAAATTGTGATTGGCCAATTTTAAAATTCGCGCCAAAATATTTTTTTCGGTTGTTTTTTCGGACATTTGCAATTTCGTTCGAATGAAAAATGAACGTTTTAAAAGTTATTTAAAATAACAATTCAAAATTATTATAGTGTGACCTCCATTATCCGAACTAACCAATGTAGGATAGAGTTCGGATAGTAGAAGTTTAAAGTGTTTTTATATAATTAAAGTAAAGCAATAAAACAGTTACACTATATATAATTAATTTAATATAATATTTTAAATTTACATATATATATATATATATATATATATATATCTTCCTATATTACAAAAAGATATCGCCGCCGCCGCTGTTTCAAGAATTCTTGACCTTCAGGTTAGGTTAGGTTAGGTCAGGTAAGGCTAGGTTAGTTTAGATCAGGTTAGATTATACCCTCAAAATTAGGTCAAATATTGCGGGTCAAAAGGTGAACATAACCTTAAAATTAGGTCAAATATCGCAGGTCAAGAGGCGAACATAACCTCAAAATTAGATAAAATATGAAGCTCCTCCCTCCCCCACTCCCTCCTTTACAAGATCTACGACCCATAGAGGTCATAAGTCAAGAGGCAAACATAACCTCAAATTATGATGCTCCCCCACCCCCCTTTCCCGCAAGTCAGTGGCCATAGTTCAAGAGGCAAACATAACCTCAAAATCAGGCCAAATAGGGTACAAGGAATTTCGAGGTTCTCCGAAAAATACATAATTTTAAGTTAAATTATTAAAAAATGAAGTTTTAAAGAGTGGCATTTTTATCAAAAATGAAAACAAACATGGTGGCGCATACACAGACGTTGCTTGAGTGTTTTAGTGCTCCAGTAAACAGCGCCAATTCGAGCGAGTGGCCACTGAATAAACTATGATTAAATACATTATTTTACTATTTATTGCTTTATTTTTTATTATTTTTGCATTAAGTTTTAGTAAATGAGTAGAACAGCGAGATTCTTTGTACCAAAATAAAATCATTTTCTATTTCAGAGAAAGTTTCAAACCACAATAAAACGTTCTTTGTCCACATACCCTTAATTTAAATTGCAAACGAAATCTTTTAATTTATTACAGATTGTATACTATTATATTTGTAAAAATTGTTTCTTAAAAAAGACCAAATGAAAGCTACACTCATAGCCGAAACATGTAATTGATATTTGAACACTAAACAAAAATCTGTTAACTATATATTAAAAAAGACAATTGAAATGTTTATTATTAAAAATAATAATGAAAAAAGAGAGAGTTCAAAAAAAACTTAATAAAATATAATATTATGAATTAATGTTAAACAAATAAAGAATCTCACCTGGACTTGTCTGCCACGATAGTCCACCGATGAACATTTTCCTAGAAAAGAAAGATGAATCCATCAGCATGATCATCGCCTGTCGTCGATGAAATGATAGAAGCGGAACAAGCGAAGGAAATTGAGAACAGGAGAACTGCCGGCAGAGGGTAACTTCCGGTTACAAGAACCACCTGGGCAGTCTCCGTTCCTCGACGACAGGTGTCACCACACATCAACCAACAACTGAACTCCCGAACAAATAAAAAAAACGTCTATTTACTTCCCGCACGTGTTTAATGATGAAAACAGAACAACACCGAAACTTAAACAAATTTGCTTTTTTTTGACATTCTCATTAACTGAGAATTTTTTTTTTTTTTAAACATTTTTGACTCCAGGGATGTTGACTTCTCCCTATTTTTTTTTTCTCTTGCCCGAACAAGAAAATTTCTCCTTTCCCTCGTTGCCAGGATTCACTTAAAATCGATCGCGAATGCAATCTGACTAATCCTCGATCGCTCGGAGTTCAAACGGGACGAGCACTCAATGCGGGTCTGCCACTCGAGATTATCGATAACGAACCACTTTAAAACTTCGGTGACTTGGTTTCGAAGCTATTTCGCTTTCTCTCATTCGTGGGTATTTGCGCTTTCTTCCTCGAATATTGATACCAATGCTTTTCATGCCTGATATTACGTTTACCGAGCAAACTATTCTAAAATTTCTAGCTAATCATTTTTTTAACCCCAACCTCTACTATTTCTAAAAAAAATAAAAAAAATTCAGTTATAATAAATGATAATGATACTTATAGTGAGATTCTTCGTGCAGAAAAATATAATGAAAGTGAATTTATTTATAGGAATGATTTGAAAAAATTTCAATAAATTCGTAAGCATTTAGAAAATTTAATTCTTGTTTTAAAAATACATATATATACTAATCCTCTACCTATTGTGACTTATTACCACTCCAGTGCTATGGATTGTAATACCCATAGTCTCCACTAGGCGTCCAAATAGACGATTTTAGACGATAACGGTCACATGAGTATAGGCAGAGGGTTAATATCGAGATAACACATTCCTGTATAACGGAGAGTCACGTGAGGAAACATTGATTTTCCGCGACTGACGCCGAAATACTAACCTCCAGCAAGACTAAATTCTTTCAACTTCCTGTTTACATTTTACATGTTTTCAAATAATTTTTTTTTTTATCTTACATATATATTTCCCCACAATGAAAAAACAAATAAAATATAAATATTTAGAAATAATGGATAATTGTGTCGAAATATAATATGATAGATTTTAATCGTATCATATTTCGACACAATTATCCATTATTTCTAAATATTAATATTTTTTTATTGAATTTTTCTTTACTATTCCGACATTCTTAAATAAAAAAAACCGTTATCTCTAATAATATATTTGAAAGAAATATAATGAATTTTAATATATAATGAACTAATATAATTTTAATCTAATACTTAAATTTCAAGCTCTAATGTTGTAAATTCTATTGAAAATCCATTAAGTTCCATGGACCAAATGTATGCAAGTTTATTTGACGTTAAAATGGTTGTAAACTTGATACGCGAATATATAACTGATAAGGCAAAAAGCTTGTTTCATTTATACTGTTATCTTTTGCAAAAAATTACTATTAACTTTACTAATAATAAGTGAGCTATAAATAATAATAAAAAAGAAATTTAAAAAAGAAATATTCTTAATAACAAAAATTCGGTTTTTAATCTGCAACAAAAATGAAAATAAAAAAGTAGTATTTGAATTAATAAAATTTTTTAAATTTTATTACAAAAATAATGAATCATAAAATTGACTAAAATTGAATTTAATATTATCTCCAAGAAGAAAATTCTTTGAAAATTTTTAAAAGAGGATGTAATTACAAATCTCGTATAATCTTATCAGAAATGTAATTAGGTTCTGTTTACACTTGCATCAAAACACTGTGCAATCTTGTAGCACAATCTTGGTCAATTATCTAATTACCGCTGGTAGAAAATTATTTTCTTGTTAAATACTGCATTTTTATTCTCTTTTTTTTTGTATTGATTTTTCTATTCTCTAAACAAGTATATATATATAGATACAGTACTAAATCAGCTGTTATAATTTTAAATATTGTCAGATGTAAGAATTATTTTGAATCTTCAGAGAGAATAAATCATTTCATGTTGTCTTAACAGATACAGATTTGATAGATATTTGTCAGTAAATGTTTTGATAATCATTCATATATATATATATATTGTTAGTTCGTCCAGTGTTCATATTACGAAATAGTCATATAAATTGAATTCCATCCTTAAATATCTGTATGTAATGAAATTTTTAAAACATAAATTTATTCATATTAATTTATAATACTTTTAAAATTGAAAAACATAAAAAATGTATTATATTGGTGTTAAATTTTCTATTGATCATTGTTAATTAAATAAAATGAAAATATTTCCATATGGGAAATTTTTATTTTAAAATGAGGATGAGTATCATGAACCTCTTTAATTGTATTAAATTTCATTGATGCTTCATGTTCATCCATTAATTATCAAATTTAACTTGTACTTAAATTATTATTCAACATAGAAACAATTTGAAAAAATTTGATTGAATCGAATTTAATTATATGATAGCTTTCAGGGAAATTTCACTTTTCATTAATATTTCATTAGGAAGTGTTAATTATATATAAACGAAATTAGATCATATCATTAGATATTTAAATATTATGAAATCCATTAACTGTCAAATTATAATGTATTATCATGTATATATATATATATATATACATACATACCTATATATGGTATGTATGTACGCTACAATAATATAAAAATTTAATTCTTCCATTTTTTCCCAGTAATAAGAATTATGAAACGAAAATTAATTTCATCGTCATGTAAGTAGTTTTTGATAGTTTAATTTTTGATGTATTGAAAAATGTGTTGGATTTTAAGTTGACAATATCTAATCAATATTGGAATTACTTCCTATTGGATTCTATCATTTATTTGATAATAAAGGTTCATTTATCTTTGAAACCATTTTTTTTTCCCATACAAATTGAACGTCATAAATAAAAATTCAGTTATTGTGTCATTTCTTTTTAAACTCCAAATTCCCTTATCAATGAATGCTATGAATTACTATGTGCATTCATTAAATTCTGTAATAGCTTTTAATAATTTGTTAAACATGTTTTCGTTAATAACGTTAATGTTTGTTTACAATTTTCATTTGCAAAGTTGGAAATTTGCTTTTGTTTTGATATGCGCATTGTTGGCATTTTGGTCAGCATCCATTGTCATAATGGGGTAATAAGCCCATTTGGATGATAATGTATAATTAAAGTTAATGAGGCACTTCCGGCTTTTCATTCACAAAAAGAAAAGAAATGCAATTGATCCGAGTGGAAGGATTTTTCTAGAGCGTAGGGAGAGGTCAGGTCCTTCTCCCACGTGGTTCGTAACTGACGCGGAGTTATCGACCACGTGACGACGAACCCGTTTGGTTCTCATTCCATCTCCTGCTACCCTACTTCCTAACTCGTGTGTATGTGTATTTTCCAAAAATGTGTTTGTTCACTTTTGTTTTCTTTTTTTTCTTTTGTCAAGTGAAATATATAACAAAGAATGCTCATCATCATTATTGCGAGCGATCGAGGTATAATTTCCAATCAAGAAGAAACGACACCGCAACAAAAACAATCACCGGGGGGCCAATATAATAATAAACACGGGGTAAAATGCAACTCAAAGAACTGAATAAATAAACACAAACATAGCACAATATATCTTGAACACTGTTTACGGGTGGTGCAGGTTGTTGGCTAAGGTGGTCGGTGAAATGAGGGTAAACATTAGCGAAATTCCAAGAGAGAGAGAGATATATAGAGAGAGATGAAACCGGGTGGTTTTTTTTTTTTTTTAAATGTGATCCAATTGGTCGTACCCTGGGTCGTTGGGCACCTCGGCAGGTGACCCGCTGGCCACGATTTCTTGTGTTTGTGGTTCCATTTCAACTCCTGGACACTGTTGTCTTGTAATCAGGTGTCTGAGACTGGGGTCAACGATGAAGGTCGTTCCGGGGAAACTTTGTTTATACAGTATGAGACTCTTTTCTTTCTATTTTTCTTGATATTTTTAATTGGAGATTTCGCGCTGTTGTAGCACGTCGACTCTCGCTCCTTGCGTCTTTCTCGTTTTTCGCCGCTGTTTCTGTTCGCCGGGCCGAGCCGGGGTGCGACGGCTCGGAAACTCGCGGTGCTTTATGTATAGCACGAGCGAGTTCTAGCACACGGTTCTTTCTTTCTTTCTTTTTTTTTTTTGTTTTTCGAAGCACAACCGAGTGCCCGAATATTGTTGATATCGAATCAAAGACTCACGACGACTATTGTAAATTCGACAATTAAAGTTGAATGACGATTAAAACGACAACGTTGACAATGAGCCGACTACTGACTACTAAAAACTAAGGAAGGTCGGCGACTACTGATGACGGGCGGCGGCCGGTACTCGAACGTGCGACGCGCTCTGCGAGAAGTTCGACGCGACACTGCGCTCTTTGCGCGGGGCGGGGGACGCCACCCGGGGGGTGGGGGTTTGCGCGCTTGCGCGATCATAACACAACTGCATAGTATGCGGGACGAGCGATCGGCCCGCCTCCGACAACGGCCTGTTCGCCTGCTAGCGAAAACGTTCCTATCCTGTCCTTCTTTTCCTTTCCTTCCTTCCCATCCATCTGTCCTTCCTGTGGCAGGCTTTCTTTCACTCTCCATATCCACTATTTGTGCCTCTCTCTCTCTCTCTCTCTCTCTTTATTTCTGTCTACCTTCTTTTGGCCGACCACCCGATCGGCTGCACTACTTAACCTCTTTCGGCAATCGAACTGCAAGATGCAAGATATATCCTGGCCAACGAGTTTCTGTCTGCATTATTCCTCTTGTCGAAAGGGTTATTCAAGATATTCAAAATTCTTTTAAGCTTCAAAGTCTTATACTCTCGAACATACTTCACTCTTTAGTATATGTATTCCAAACATTTCTTTGACTGTATTTTTGATAAAAAATATACTTTTTAAATACAGTTTTCATTTGTATAATAGTGATGAGTGGCGGCCAATCACAAAATATGTAGAAAATTAAGGATTCGAGTCTAGAATGATAACATTTTTCTGTATTCAACTTTGTCCTTATTATTATACTAATGGAGGCAATAAACTTTGTTTAAAGCCTTTGCGGATACTTAATTGATGCTATACCTGTGTAATTTATCATTTATTCACTTTCCTTCTTCTCTAATGAGGGACACAATTATGAGTAAGTCTAATTTTGTCGTCTGCGTGCGATTAAAGTTTGGCCGTTAGTTTATTCTGAATTTTTATTTAAATACTTTCTGTTGGAAGTGCAATGATGTTAGTTAAAAAGATAGTAGTGATGAACTTGTTACAAACTACAACTTGTTAGTCCGTGAGCTATAGCGACAGTTTTTAGTGTCTTAATATGATCATGAATGAAAAATAAATCGTTAGACGTTAATTGGCATATGCGTATAATACCAAAAAGGAGTGCTTACCATATACTATAGATTTTCACATGCACAATCAAAAGTTCATAGTGTGGAGTCATAAAAAAAGTAATTTTTGAAATATTGACATCTATGTATAAAAATTTTCGCTTTTTCTTGATTATTTATATATTTTACGGGAAAAGTGAAATGTTAAGAAAAAAATACTTCCATTGAAAATTGCGTAAAAGGGCCAATTGCCTATCAAAATATATTTTGTGATTTTTATAATTTTGTTGTGTTTTATCACAAGAGTCTGGCAAAGTGTATATATAAACATACTAATGAGTGCCCTCTTCTCATAATACACAGACTGAATTAATAAAAAATATTATTATACTGCTGATTCTACACACACCTAAATCCCTAGTAGAAAGTCCCAGTAATTATCGTGGCACTGGACAGTTGCGCTAGAAGCTGTCTAGTAACTTAACACTGCAACTGGCTAATTACTCGAATGGAATGTCACGCTTTTTTCGTCTAGTTATTGTCTAGCCCAACTTGATAAATTCTGATCAACGGTCCGTTAGAAAAACTAGACAAATTATTTCTTTTAAATATTCTCAAAATTTGTCTAATATTAAGATTTAATGTAAGAAACTAATTATACAATAATAAATTATATAATTACATTAATTTTTTTAAATTATAATCTAAATTATTTGAAGAAAATATAATGTATAGTAAATTGTTAAAAGCATAATATTTGTCAATACTGTTTAATTTTTAATTTTAAAAAAAAATTTTACTTGTGTAAAAAGATCACAAATATTTTCTGGTACACTGAAACATCCACTTTTTGATTGCACTGTAATGACGACTGAAACAAATATTTTTGTATTAGTAATTTATTATACAATTATTATTATCAACTTTTAAACACGAAGAGAACGCAATTTCAACGAAAAATCTCGGGGGTAACGGGGAGCGAACACGGGTCCGCTGGGCGCGAGTTACGCACGCTACGCAATCTGCTATACTAAAGATATCCATCAAACGAAAAATATACCAGATATATTTGCATGCTTTATATAAATATTTTTACTATTATCTGCCAAAATACATATTTTAGAATTTTAATTTTTTATAATTTATTGAAAAATAAATTTACACTTGAAATAACAATTTTAATCAGCACAAATTTCATTAAACCATTATTGTATTAAACAATAGATATTTTAAATTTTCTAAAAATTTAATTTTTAATTTTATACAACTTAATTTTAATATTTTATAATTAAAAAATTTTTTAAATTAAGCTATTAATCCACCTATTATTAAAATTATATATTTTATTTAAAAAGATTATAAAAATTTAAGGCATAAAAACATTTTAATTTAAAAAATAAAAAGAGAAATAAAATATAACCTATCTATGTAACAAGGCATATTTTTATTATTGCATTTTGACATTTTTTAAAAATAATTACTATTAAAATTATTATTTATTGTTTTCTAAGTGAAAAACTCAACGAAAACAGTAATTTTTATTGTTTTTTAATATCAAAGGATAGAATTTATAGGTTAGGTTTTCTAAATTACACATTTTTTTCAATATCAATTGAGAATAAACTTTGTTAATAAAAAAATATATGATATATAAATGGAACAATAAATAAAATGCCAATAATAGATAATAGAATAATTTAATTTATAGAAAAGAAAAACATATACTAATATATTCAGAAAACATGTGAATATAGATTTTATATATTTATTATATTAAAATAATAAATTATGTTAATTTATATTTACCTGAATTAATTAGAATTTTATTATTTAAGAAAATAATGAAATAAGGGGCCATTCATTAATTACGTAAGGGTCCTTAGGGGGAGGGGGGTTTATAAAATATCTACATGGTCTTACGTGGGGGGCTGGGGGGTAGCAGCTAATCTTACGTAAGATTTTGCCAAGTATTTTCCATTTGTATTATGATGTAATTAATTTTTTAATTACATTAATATTGTTAAAAACTTACGTAAGAAGGGGGAGGGGGGGTCCGAAAAATCTTATGTATCCTTACATGGGGGTAGGGGGGGTCAAAATTAGCCAAAATCGTCCTTACGTAATTAATGAATGGCCCCTAATATAATAGTTATATGAACACAGATTTCTAGCACTTTTTTGTCTAGTTATTAGACATGTACTGCAGCGCTGCTGCCACGAAAGAAGACGAAAGTATAATTTCTAGAGACACTAGACAGTGCCATTCAAGCAACTGGACAAAAGTTGAATCTAGTCAATTTCAAGTTCAACTTGAATGTTTTCTAAGACTGTTGGTCAAGTAACTTTACAGTAATTGTCTAGTTTGTCTAGAATCAGCGTCCACGAGAAAACCTACTTCTAGTGCTTCCATGACAAATTTCTACTAGGGTAAACTGTGCGAGCGGTCCGCATTTCTGTTACGTTTATTATATATATAAATTTAAACTAATAATTGAGAGTATATAAAATCAGACGAGGTGACAATTTGTTATATTAAAAATGTATTTTAAACAATATAGTTTCTTTATAGTTTTGATTAATGTGTGCAACTTGTACTTGGAATGTTTAGCGTAATAAATTTTATATTATTTATTTGATTAAGATAAAAATTGTAAATTTTTTATATACTTTAGATTTTTAAGTTTTGAACTGATCGTTCATACTCTCAAAATTTAAATTAGTGAACGATAAAAAATTGAAAAATCAACGATTTAAATTTAGAGAGTAAACTACAAAAGTAGTTTTACTTTTTTTATATTTAGTAAAAAAAAAATTCACCTCCTTTTTGGTTGATGAAAGACGTTCTTAAAAATAACCCCTTCCTGGAATATATTTTAAATCCGTCACTGAAAGAGAAAAACAATAAAATGAAAAAACATGTTTCATAATCTAATAAGGATTTAACATCTTTTGATATTGACAAATATATTTAATTCTAATTGAAAGTATATAAGACACAGTGCACAAAAAATTGAACCTGAAATAAAAGTAAACCGAGTAATCATGTCAAAAAATTGCATTTCACTTAAGTTATATTTCGTTCGACAGAAAATTCAATACAAAAGTGATTACTTTGGTATCGAATTTCATGTCGGTCAGAGAAAAACTGAAATGTTACTTAATTTTGACAACAATTTCTCTGTTACTTTATTTTTCGTTCACATTCACTGACCCTAGTAGAAATTTGTCGTGGATGCACTAGATTGACTCAAGTTACTTGACAGTTTTTCTCGCGGACGCTGATTCTAGCTGAACTGATAAATAACTGTGAAGTTACTGATCAGTGCTTTTTGAAAGAAATTCAAGTTGAACTTGATAATTCCACGACTCAAAGCTATCCAGTTTTTTTAATGGCACTGTCCAGTGCTGCTCGAAATTAAATTCATATCCTTGTCATGGCGGTGGCGCTTCAATAAGTCTAGTAACTGGACAGCTATGCTAGGATTTTGTGTATTGACATTTCGCTTGCTTGATTTAAAAAAATTACAACTTGTTTATAAAAATTAATAATAATAATATTAATATTCCTTTCTCAAAAAAAGACAGTGCATACAAAACACATGAAAATGTATCGAAATATCTCGGTGGTCGAAAAAATTGAATTTAAGAAAAAATGAACTTTGCTTTCCAGAGCATCTAAATCAATATTCATTTTATGAAAATCACTGTAAATTATTGTTCCACATATATATTTTTTGCATAACTTATCTTATTGCAATAAATATACACTTGCAAAATATTATTTGTTGTAAATGTTTGCCAGCTGTCATGAATCAGAAACGAACATAACCTATATTTAGTTGAAATCACTTGATTGGCCCAAGACAAAATAGCGCGCGCTTTTTTAAAATAATAAAATTTATTAAATTATAATAAAATAATTGCAATAAATTAAATTATTATGAAAATAATATTACCTTGAATAAAAAGTGTTTTTAGTTTTTAAAAAAAATGATTAAACAATTATTATTATTTTCAGACAAATTTTACAAATA